TTGAAAGTCTCGCATATAATAAAGGACTCTAGTTTCACATAACTATGATAATGCGGGATGTTCGTATGTAGATATTCTTATTCGGGATGGCAAGCAAAAGACAGCAGCCCTTGTCTGTTTCTGAGGTGCAATCAAATTCGACAAATTGACTTCTGGCTTGCATTTTAGCGAACATGTGACGTACGACTCTCATCACTATATATTTAAAATCTGATGAATATATATATTTGATGAGCAACATTATTATTCCTTAATTTATACACAGCCATATGGTTTAACCCCTTATTTCTTCTTTTCTTCGGTGCTTGATGTGGCCAAGCTAATTCAATGTTTCTTAATAAATTAAACTTCGTTTTCCCGAATCTGGCTAGCTGCCATGCATGATCAATAAACACCACCACTCCATAAAGGCCAATATTAATTGATATTTTTATATATTTTGTGCAAAATATATAATTTTTGCCCTATCTAGAAATTATGTGCCGATGACACACCAGCCATAGCATTCAGACAAATTAAAGTGACAGTGGAGACCCAAGCTCTAACACTTTTGGTGTATTATAAAAGCATCATTTCATTCTGCCTCGATCACTTTCAATTTTCTATCTACCGTTCTTTAACGAACTTTAAGCACGAAAGTCACAGATCATCTTCTTAAGTTATTATGGAACAATGACACTTGGAAGTTGGAACTGAGCTGTAAATTTAATGAAAATCACAAAAAGAAGCAGTTTCTATATGTTCGGCTGCACTATAATCTGTTTTTACTAACTAAAAGCCTACGCGGGCGCCGAATATATATCGTTCTTCCAGTCACCAAATCACTAGCTAAGGGACAATAATAAAAAGGCAGAGGTTTAATTAATATACAAGTATAATATGATGCGTTTTAGTTTTAACTTTTAGTGCCTAATAAACCAATAATAAGAGAAAAAGTAGAAAGTAGAGAAGTGTGGAAGAATCTGATCTCAGTAAGGAATATATATGTGTGTGTATACTGGTTTCAACTGGGAAGAAAAAGAAAGCTGATTCTCCCCTTGTACTTTGGAGCCTTGCTAAGTTGTTTCACTTGCTTGCTTTTGATCTTTGTGTGACTTTGTTACTAAAGCGCGTACCTTTTTCATTGTCGTTTTGCACTCAGAAAGAAAAGCTTAGTCACTAAAAAAATGGCTTCTAAGCCCAAAAGAGACCCTCTGCTCAAAAACGCAGAAAAGATAAGTTTTAACTAAAAAGAGACACAATGAAACGATTTATCATTAAATTATACACTGCTACCTTCCGCCTAACTCTATCTTCATTATTGCGTATTGATAATTGTCTCCTCATCGTCTCCTCATTTCTGCGTAAAATACTCCATCATCTTCCAAAACTTGAAAAGAAACCAGGGTGGCTTTCAAGACGCTAGCTATGTACTGTGCAATCCATAATTGGCAATTCTCTTCATCATTGCATTTTTTATATGCATTATTATTTCATGCAAAACGCTATCGCATAGGCTAAATAATTGATATCCCAATATGAAAAAGGCAAGTACTGTTTCATATATTTCTTTTCTAATGATTAAAAAAACTCAGTCGTTAAATCTGCAGACCAGTTAAAAGAGAGAGGGTGAAATGAGAAAATATATCTGTGCTCCTTCCAGTGCTAAAAGGTCACAAGATCTTCGAATAAAATCGATCTCAAGATATAAAGATCAAGTATTTTATCCTTACTCTTTATTTTGACCGAAGAAACCCAAAGGTTTTTGCCCTTTTCACTTATATTTTATAAAGTACATATTATGAAGAGAGAAAATAAGAAAATAAGCAAAGCGTGATTAATAATAAATTAAACCAACCAATTATCGTCCACATAATATGATGAACCCTAGGTGGTAGCTTGAATAAATGTGAAATCGGTAGTAGCTTTCTCAGAAACTGTTTACTATGAAAACACTTTGAGAGGAACAATTCGAGAAACAATAAATTTAATGTGGTACAAGCTTAGGAGAGTTGGTTGAATATTATGTATGTATGTATTTGATGTGGCCCACACTTATATGTTTGGTTATATATATTTGATATGGACCAATATACTTAATTACGAATATTGTGTGTTATAATCGTACAGAGGGGGAAAGAAAGGCTAGTTAGCTAGCTAATTTGTACTATTATCTAGACAGAGACAGAATCCGAGTCCATTCATGCACGAATAAAACCATATTCCCCTTTTAACGTCGATATACAGGCAATAGATTAACAGCTCTTAGTTTCTTTTTCTTTTCTTTTTTTTAAAAATTTGGGCAGCAGTAAGGTAATCCCATCAACACCACTCAAATAATATAAGATTCACTTGATCTGATGAACATATGTAAGTTGACTTTTACTATCATGCGTGGTATATCATAATTAATTATTTTCCTTTTAAATATTACTTTAGCTGGGAACACAGTCATATTACAGACATTAATGTATTTTTTCACTGGAAATTATGAATTCGCGGTGGCCATTATGCTAAACAAGAAAATTTGTGCTTGATATTTGGATTTGAAGGAATATCTATGTGTGTGTGTGGGGAAAACTGAACGGGGACACAAGGCTAACTTTTTGGTTTTGATAAGGATACATAATTATGGAATATTGAAACAAAGGTGTTCATTAGTAGAGACGCACAGTTGTTTTGCGACATATAATGGGATATATAGGCATAGGCATTATTAGGAAGATAATATTATTAAACACAATCAATATAATTAATGTAGTCATAAATATTAACCAAAGAAAGGATAATCGTGCATCACAATCCAAGTGTAAGAATCTCGTTTCTTTTTCTTTATTAGGGAGAAGAAGGGGAACACAATATATTCAGTGAAAACGACAGTATGAATTGTGTGCGGACCAGCGAGCATCTGAGGTAACAAGAAGCTAAGAGAGTGTAGCAACAGATCATCAGAAGACAGAGATAGAGAGAGACATTATGAGAGAAATTAAAAAGGTGGGTTAATTAAGTGGTAAAGAGAGGCTACCACACTTATTAAAACGACGATGATCCACCATCGTCGTTCCCAGCAAGGCTGGGCACCCACGTGAACCCCCCTAGCTGCCGTCCCCACTCTGATCCTCCGTATCTCTCCCTTCGTTTTCTCTCTTTCCCTTTCTCCATACTTCACCTAGCTAGCCACCACCTACCTAGCCCCCCCCCCCCCCAATTTCAATTTCTATCTTCATTACAACTCATAATCCCATATGAACACACATATATACACTAAGATAATTCTTGCTATTAATGTCAGGATACACATAATCCCACTCAGCATTGTTTGAACTATGTGCAAGGTTTGTCTTAACTTTGAGGAATTCATTCCTATAAAGGACATTGAGGTCGCTTTATTCTTAAACTCTTTTTCTTACTATATGTATCTCTCACACACAATATGATACACAGTTTCTAATATGATTCGGTAGTAATTTTTTTGTTTTTTCACTTGAACTCTAGGATGACTTCTTTATCAAAAGGGCCATCAACAGTACTGCTCCACATTCGGGCACGTGTCTCCTCAGTCGTGTCACGTGAACATCCACGTGCCTCCTAAGAGTCCCTCCCCCCTCTCATCACCAGTTCAGAACTCACCTCAATCGTACTTGAGCTGTTTGCGTCCTATAAATTCACAGCCAACTCCTTCCTTATATCCTGCGCAAAAACACAGAAGTGATGACATGAGACTCCTCCTCATGATCCTAGCTTCCAACTTTAAACATCAAATCCCTGCTTTTGTTTTAACGTTTCTTTGATATACCAGCTAGGAGAACTCAAAGCCTCACCCGCAACTACACTGTGTATTGCACAACACTTCATTTTTTTTTTCATTGACCAATCTGTGGAAAAAAAAAACTGCAGAAGGAAGAGAATCTTGATGGAGTGTTGGGTATAAAAAGTGATGTAAAGCGCAATCCGGGCTTGCGTTAGCTCACGACTCCCCACAACGCTGCTCCAAGATTTTGTTCTCTGCGCTTCCCTGCATTCCTATGATCACCACCGGTGGGGCTCTTTTCTTATATATCCTTCACCACCACTACCCTAATCCATACATCTTCCTGGCCTCTAACTAAGAGGGTGAAAGTACACTCGGTTACGAGTAACCTTTCTTAGTTCAGAAATCAAGCACAAAAAACCAATGGAAGGTGTTTCCAAACTTATATTAGGATTGAGTATATATGGTTTATTGGTAACAGTTGGATTGACAGCGATACCCATGGAATTGGCGTGCCTGGCAATAGAGGGAGATGTGACGGTGGACGAATGGGAGGTGGAAAGAGCTTCGGTGGATTTCGGAATGATGAAGAGGACGGAGCCGCTAGTCGTATTGCACCCTGCCTCGGGGGAGGACGTGGCGACGGTGGTTCGAGCGGCGTATGAGTTGGGCAAGGGGTTGAGAGTGTCGGCGAGAGGGGAGGGTCACTCCACGAACGGGCAGGCTCAGGCGGAGAAAGGGGTGGTCATAGACATGAGGTCGCGGTCTAGTGTGACGGTGTGGGAGGAGGAGAAGTATGTGGATGTGTGGGGTGGAGAGCTCTGGATAAAGGTACTGATGGAGACGTTGGAGTATGGACTCGCACCAAAGTCCTGGACCGATTACCTGTATTTGACGGTCGGCGGAACCCTCTCCAACGCCGGCATCAGTGGCCAGACCTTCCATCACGGCCCTCAGATCTCCAACGTCCACCAGCTCGACGTTGTCACAGGTTCGTCCCCTCTCCATAAGCATTTCACTACCTCGCTTTACTTACAGGCCAAACAATTTTGACCGGGTTCAAAGCCTGAGGTTTAATTTTGGTTTCATCTTAGAAGTTTAATATTGGCCCAAAAAAATCTTAGAAGTTTAATATCCTCTCATTTAATTTGGTGACAGGAAAGGGCGAGTTGTTGACATGCTCCGAGGATCTTGACACTGAGTTGTTCCATGCCGTCCTGGGAGGTCTTGGACAATTCGGAATCATCACTAGGGCCAGAATTGCTCTTCAACCGGCCCCTCACAGGGTCTCTCTCTCTCTCCCCCTCCCTCCCTCCCTCCCTTTCTTTGTATAGTGTTGTTCTGTTCATATAGAAGATGCTCGTTTTGATGACGTGTCGTTAATTTGCCCGTCTCTCTCGAATTCTTTTAACGATCTGATAAATAGGTTTTTATATTACTGTGGAGATTTACCAAACGTTACTATGCTGCTACTGCATCGACAGGTGCGTTGGATAAGAGTGCTGTATTCGGATTTTTCAGTGTTCACGAGAGACCAAGAGTTTCTGATCTCTCTGCATGGGAAACCAGCCAGTGAGAGATTTGACTACGTTGAGGGATTTGTAATAGTGGACGAAGGGCTTATTAACAATTGGAGGTCCTCCTTTTTTTCACCCAGTAACCCAGTCACTCTCAGTTCTCTGAATGCTGATGGGGGTGTCTTATACTGCTTGGAGATTACCAAAAATTACCATGAAGGCAACGCAAGTACTGTTGACCAGGTAAAAGTAATTCACCTTTTTATCCGTAGCTAATTAGTTTGCGTATGCCTTATTCTATTATTAGACGGTTCCACTTTCTAAGTTTCTATTCTTGTTTGCCTAAACTTGAGTGCCTGATCTGTTACTAGACACGTACTTTGGCAATTGGCATACGGAGAGTACGTAGATGCGTTTCTAAGTTCTATAGACAAACTCTGGAATACTAAGTAGCTAGCTAGAGTCTACCTATATGTTTGCCTTGCAAAATAGGATATTTGCGAGCTGTAGTTGACCAACTGGCTCGTAGTATCATTTTCTCTTGGTTGTGCATTAAAAAACCGTAAATAGGACCTCTAATTAGTGGGGCTTCTTTGTCCGGCTTTGAGACTTTGAGCATGCATAACTGGTTCCAAATAGGAGGAAAGAAATGAAAAATGAAAGAAACAAACAAGAAAGGAAGAATTAGGTGACACTGATTAGATGCATATCATAACCAGAAGAAAGTTGTAAAGGTAAAATGAAGTTCAATATTAAATTAGATATCAATTTGCTAACTTGTCTCCATCTTATCTCTTTTATTCTGTGATGTTCCTGTCCCTACAATAAACTATTTCTGTATCGTCCATCCCAGTAATTATATTAATCAAGCCCTTTGAGAGAGTATAAGGTCAAACATGAATATATATTTCCTAGAATCAACGTACAGATAGGTATTATTTGTAATTAATTAGTTCCCCCTTTTCTTTGGGTGACGAAATTGAACCTTCATATTACACGATCTGTACTTTGTACTAGTACTCAGACAAATTTATGCATAATATAAAATTGTACACAAGAGAACAATACTGTCCGGTGCACGTAATATCTGGCATATCTGGATTCAATTGCAATGAAATGAAGCTCACAGCTATCTTTATGAATAGTGGCTTTTTGTGAACGTGCGACGTACTTTTAAATGATGATTAGTTGATAATAATTGCGCATGATTTGCATAATGGATTCACAACAAGGAGACGTGGGGGTCTCATCTGAATCGCGCAGGAAATAGAGGGCCTGTTGGAAAAGTTAGATTTTATAGAAACATCAGTGTTCACAAAAGACGTGACATACGTGGATTTTCTGGATCGCGTACACAAGGCAGAGTTAAAGCTGAGGTCCAAGGGTTTGTGGGAGGTCCCACATCCATGGCTCAACCTTTTTGTTCCCAAGTCAAGGATAGCTGACTTCGACAAGGGCGTCTTCAAGGGCATTCTCGGAAATACCACAAGTGGCCCCATCCTCATCTACCCCATGAACTCCAGCAAGTAAGCTTCCACCAGATCCATGCAATCATATTAAATTGTTAACTAACATGCAATCATATTAAATTGTTAACTAACTCATTATCAATATCATGCCTGTTCTTTATTTATTATATATATATATGTGTGCGCGCAGAGAGAGAGAGAGAGAGTGACACGCACACGACATAAACCCTCTGCATGCATGCTTGTTGCTTATACACACTCGTTCTAGTAGTATTCATGATTATAGAGTACTATTCCGATACTAAATATAAGACTTTTATATACACCAGTATAAGGATATTATATTTAGGACTAAAAGTATCATTTATATTTATACATTTTAAAAATCTCATTCTTTAAATTTTGTACTGTCAATGGATATGCTCCTAATTAAATTTGACAATATAACGGCCTGGTATCCATGACTTATTAGATTTTATGTGAGGATTACTGGTGTATATGAGGTGACCATGTTGTACGAGGAAAAGAGGGAGATAGGGCTAATGACCCAGAAGCAGAGTGATTTTATGGGGGGGGTCAAGGCACCTGAATTATACGTGGAAAAGAGACGTGGCCCACATGCATGCGTGGACCCACCGAACACAGCTGCTTTGAGATATACTTTTTTTGTTTTTGGGGAAAAAAAATTGTGTTCGATGTGTCGAAGCAAACAAAAATGGATGGTTGCGATCATCCAACCGAGAAGATTCTCGTGTCAGGAGATCTTCATCGGGGATCCACCGATGCATGTCTTGTTTTCCAAGTCTTCTTCCACCCCTAACACATCCCTTTCTCACCAGAAATGCCACCTACCCTATCATCTTCGTTAGTTTATTACGAAAAACATATAAATACATTATTAATTGATTTAGCAAAATGTTTTTTCCAGATAAATCTACACCTTACATTGTTCACACACACTAATTATACTAACGTATTGATAATAATTAGTGACTTAAAAACACGATGAATAAAGTAACTTGGTGGTACTAGGTGCACTCATCCGTCACCAGCACCCATTTTGACTTCGCTCAGGACAAAAAAAAATTAATTAGCAAGAATTGAGCAAGAATGGTAAGTGTACTCTTGCATTAACATCTTGGCTTTGCATCATAAGAAAAAGGGAAATTAACAAGATTTATTTGGCTTTGTTTTTTCTTTTCTTCTTTCCTTCTTTTTTGGGGGGGGGGGCGTGGTGTAGGTGGGATCAGCGGAGCTCGGTGGTGACACCAGAGGAGGAGGTGTTCTACCTAGTGGCATTTCTGAGATCAGCTGTGGATAATGAGACTGTGGAGTACCTGAACAATCAGAACCATGAAATCCTGAGATTCTGCGATGATGAGGGCATCAAGGTGAAACAGTATCTTCCACATTACACAAAGCAACAGCAGTGGAAGGACCACTTTGGGAACAAATGGGACCAATTTTATCAAAGGAAGATGCAATTCGATCCTGGCTGCATCTTGGCCACTGGCCAGCGTATTTTTAAGCCTCCCACTACTACCTCCAACGACGTATGAAAAGTTTTAAAAAAAAGAAAAGAAAAGAAAAGGCATGATTTAGTACAAGAATATGAGTGTGATTTGAAAGTAGTGTTGTTGAGGAGTTGCTATCTGGGGAGAAGGTGGATGCAGCTAGCTTGCATTTTGTGCATATGACATGTCGTTTTGCAGTGCCCGTGATTCCGACCGCCCCTTCTGCTTCGCTTTCCCTGTGTCCCTACAACGCAGCTGCTCACGCTCATGCTTCCAGTTCCTTTCACAAAATTTCACTACTTGTACCCTTTCTAAGTTTTACCCCCTTCTTTCCAATTTCATATTCCTTGTACATAGGATTCCACAGCTGGAGAGGATGAGCAAGTCTGAGCAGCAGTTAATGGTAGTCCCTTTCTGCAATCCTGTCTCACGCCTTTTAAGTTTTAGCTTTTCCCCCCTCTAGTCTAGCTACGTCTCTAATTAAAGAATCTTTGTATCCTTGGTCTTTAGATATTTCAGATTAGACTAGATGGTTAGAGTAGTTCTTCAGCAACTTAGAACGAAAATAAACTAGAATGCACAACTAATGATATCCGCACCATCAGAAACCTATATGCAATTTCCTGCACCAGAGACACTACAGAAAACTAAAAGCAAAGCCAAAATGGTTATCAAATTACCAAGCTTTCCTCGGCGGTGGGGATCTGATAAGCATATTATATGATCTTCCGCTCCTCATGGCTAGATCTAAAACTGGATCAACGTAAGAAGTCCCACAAAATGACCAGTATATTCACAGATAAACTGTTCTCGTATTTCGTTATCAGATGAAAAAAGCTCGCTAATAGAACTGTTAGATCCATATTCACAGTAAGCATCATCAAAATCCAAATCCCTTCAGCTCCCATTCAACCACGAAAGGCCAGGGCAGATCAGGTGAAAAATACAGTGTGCATCTATTTTAGTAATTTTTCCCGTCAACGGAGATGACATACAAGAGGAAATAGGGATTATGCTGTCATTTTCTTCTCCAGCATGTTCCAACAGCCCATGCTTCGCTACCACCCAGAGTGTCGATTTGCAGACACCTTTTACATACAATCGGCGAGAGAATGAAAACTATGGTGAGCCAATGCAACAATATTCTTGACAAAAACTGCAGCAACCAGTACTCTTGCTAGAATCCACAATTGTGCTCCAACAAGAAATCATTTCTCTAGACCTTCAAGTGATCCCACCTTTCTGTTAATTAGGAACTATAATAGTCATTAGGCTTAAGAAAACGACTGAATTCAACATAATGGCAAATGAAACCTTACATGAGTACTCTGCTTTACTTTGTGTCATCTTCTACTTCCAATTGCTTCCCGAATTTTTTCAATGCAAGTGAATATACGGTTTTTCTACTCACTGATGTTCCATCAGCTACCGACTTGACAGCCTAAATACACATTGGTAAAAGTTACAATTTCATTGAGAGAGGCTATTCGGTAACATTAGTGTGTGAATTAATTTAACCTTGGGCTCTAACATTGTTATGCTTCAAATTCAGCGGAAATAATGTCAGCGCTGTAAACTGTTTTTCGGCCATGCAATACTTTAAACTTTTAATCGCTGGCTAAATTGATATTTAGATTTAGCTCTGCAGTCCTTAAAGTCCATAATGTTGGCATTTTGCAGATATGGGCAGGGGAAATACCAAGCAAGCACTCGCAAAGGAAGCAAAATAAATCAGGACGGTCTTTAGTATTTTTGCCTATAACATGGACACTAATTTTCTCTCTTTTCCATCATCTCTTGAGACTTAAAAACTTCAAACTACTAATATGAGCCATCCCCGAACCACAGATTCGACTACCATATTCCTCAGTTTGATTTGTTTAGTATAGACAACTACATCCATAATTAGCTCTTGATCAAACTTCCATATAAATTTAATTCAACTGTACCCAACTTTAGCGGCTAAGGGAACAGATCTAAAGATTGCAGTGTCCAGATAAAAGCAAAATGTTACCATGGAAAGGCTCTCGCCTTGTGAAATTAAATCCCTCAATTCATTCTCAAGCTGAATCTCTGATGGTGGTTCAACTTTAGACTTTGTGCGCCCTTCAATTAATATGGTAAGTTCTCCCTTTGGCTGGTGCAATGAAAACGCTTTCTTGGCTTCACCAAGAGTACCACGCCAAAACTACATAAGCATTACCTTGTACATCAGCATAGGAAGGATCGCATGCAAACAATATTTAAAGCAAATCAACAGACCACTCTATTAACAAGATTTAGAAAAACCATATGGCATGTTCATGGGATGCATAATTAAGATTACTCATCAAAGGGAGAAAACTAATAAAGACAAACAGTCACACGTCCATAGCAGTTTTTCCTCTAAGATGATACCCAGAAATTTATAATAAGATACCATGAATCCAGCGAGCATAAAGTGGATAAAGGTCAAAATGACAAACCATAGCTATATAAAATAATTCTTCCAATTGACTATTGCAATGGCGTGGAGCATCTGAAGCGTTCAAGATAAACAGGAACTAATGGTCTTTGCACTTATTACAATGATTAAAATGAAAAATAATTACAGAATCAACTGCTCCAGTCATTATAAATAAGATAACCAATAGCCATTATAAATAAGATAATCATGAACAAATACCACAGATATGAATGATAAACATACCTCCTCATGTAACTTGGTCATCTCCCGAGCAATGACACATCGTCTACAATACCATCAATGAGCGAGTCAAAACTAACCCATAACTAATGTTTAATTAAACCGTGTTTTTCTGCTACTCTAAGATGACCAAAAGAAATGCTCCTAAGAGAACATAAAACAATGCAAAGTGGAACAAAATTTCCAAAGCAATAATACATGGCCTGGCATATCACAAAAGAAATGAAATTTACTGAGTCAAAACTAATCTTAACCTGCTGTTACTCACTATTCCACATCTTTCTATTGCTCCTCTATAATTACTTATACAGGCATTGAATGGGAAAAAGAAAAGAAAAGAAAGGAGGATAAAAATAGTGCAACGACAACGAGTAACAGCCTCAAAGTCCAAACATAAACATGCTAAAAAGTTTAATCACTTAATGGCTCAACCATTAAACCGTAATAAACCACCTAAAGTATAATTGTCAAGGCAACTTCCTTTTTCCTTCATATCCCACATCAATACATGAGATGAATCCAAACAAGTGTTCGAATAAAATGCTAAAGTTTGCATAAAAGCATTCCTTTAGCAACTGAAAATACAAAGCAATAAATCATTTGACGGTGAACAAACTATAATACAAGGCAAATTTTATATATTAAGCATATCTTTACTACCTCGTATCCCCAAAAGATGAAGCACCTTCGTCCAGAAATTGGGAAAGCTTGTGAGGAGGAACATAAAATATTTGTGTAGTTGCTTCATCGGCTGAAACCGTGAGTCTCTTTCTTCTAGATCCAGAATGCTTTGGGAGAAAGCCAACTATAGCAAAATATGTCATGTTTAGTGCCAAGAGCGTTACTAATGCCAAAATTTATGAACGGATCTATTGACCAACAGAGGTAGTCAGAAATTACCAAAAGTAAATTCATCAGTAGCTAATCCTGAGGCGGAGAGAGCTGATATCAAGGCACAAGGCCCAGGTATAGGGACAACAGGGATATTTTCATTAACACATAATTTGGCCTGCATTATTTATTTCAGAAACCCTTTTGGTGAATAATCTCTCTCACACTACACACAGAAGCACAGATAAACATGTTTGAGTCGGCATAGAATCAGCACACTCACCAATTCCATACCAGGATCACTAATGCCTGGTGTTCCAGCATCGCTGATTAGCGCAACAATCTCACCCTGCCTCAACCTCTTCAACACTACCTGTTCCCTTTGTGATTCATTGAATTTGTGATAACTCATCTGAAAATCTAGAGAACAGAATTAGAATAGATTGATAAACGCCAATAGCAATAAGAAGTTTGGAAGACCCGTACAAGGGGTGTTTTGATATTGTAGTGGTGAAGCAACTTTCCAGAATGCCTAGTATCTTCTGAAAGTATCACATTCGCTGACTTTAATACGCGAAGGGCCCTGCATTGGTGATCCAGACAGCATGGAAAAAGTCACCGAACCGTAGAAGAATACCAAAATTCACTTCTCTTCAAATTGCTAAGCCACTTTTATTTGCTAGTTCGTTTTTTTTTTTTTTTGGCTCGTGGTGAAGAAAGAGAACCGTGGCAACGACAGAGCTAAAATAAAAGCCACACCAACGAGTTTCTATTCAGTCGTAATGGCGTAAAATCAAACTAACTTTACAAGTACCTAAAGGTAATATCTTCAAGATTTCCAATTGGTGTTCCTACCAGATAAAGGCCAGGTTTCAGATTAGCCTGCCAAAACACAAACTTACTATTATTCATGTCACATGAAAAGAAATTAGTTTTAACCAGAGAAGGTCTTAATCCTAGGAATGAAACTTCAGGAGGATAGTGAAGCTGGTACACTGAACGGAAGACAAATATAATTACATTTTTCTCCGACTCCTCAGGAATCTGGCCGGTTTCTCCAGCAGAAATGGAGGAAGCGAAGCTGGAGCAGGAGAGAAAAACAAGGTTTCTTGGGCAAAGGGAGGATGAGCGAGGAAAATTAATTTGCTTCTGAACGCGAAAAAGTTTTGCAGCTCGCGGAGAGAGCGGGATTATTGTTGCCAGAGAAATTGCCATAGACAACGTTCTTCGAATCAACATCTTTGCCCGGAGCAAACCCCGAAACTGACTGTGGCAGTATGGTCCCTTCGGGTGTAATTTGGTTTTGTTTGGGCTGTGCCATCTTTGAATATGTTACGGGGGTGCTGAAGATAACCCCGGCCCAAGTGTATCCCATCATATTCATGTTCTCAATTAGAAACAAGCCACAGGTGCCATGATCATCCCCGACGCGCAGTGCATCTCATGTGTTATTTATTATTACCTCTAATAGCTAATATAACTAAAAACTGAATTTACTTATAGATATAAAATCTTAATTTACCTTGTCTTCTTTTTTTTATAGAATATTTCCATTGATTATAAAAAATTTTTATCAAAAAATATTTTAATGCACAATATTAAAGAGTATATTTTAGGATCAGTAAAGAAAAGAATAAGATATTTTAAGAGACCAATACATATTTATAACAAATAATTAATTTAACTAATTTTATTTAATATTTTAAAATTAATTATCTAAATCTCATACTAAAATATATGATATATTACTTATTTTCCTCCATGAAAACAACTCCATTGTTCAATTCAAAAGGTAAATTATCTATGGTGTTTTTCTCTTTCTTGCAACATTATCCATGTTGTCTGTGGGGCGGTTAATAAACCAGATGCACCCGGAGGACGAAGACACATTTTATTTTGGGAAAATTGCCAAAAAAAAAAAATATTGAAATTGTAAAAACACAAATAAGGACCCTTGACAACTTCATTTTGGGTTTTGACAACTTCATGACATATTATTGTTGTCAAAAACCATAGTGAAATTGTCAAGAGTCCTTATCTGCGTTTTTGTAATTCTAAAATCTTTTTTTACAATTTTCCCTTTTATTTTCGTTAGAGGGGGGAAAAAACAATGTCAGCGAAAAACAATCTGTGCGCGCCACGTTCACCGGTTTATGAGCAATAGCATGCCAATTTGGCACTGTTTCAAAACATCTTATCATTTTACAAAATATTTTGGCTATCAAAAATAAGAAAGCATTTTGCCTTTTCCTTAAAAAAAAAAATTTAATTTTAAATGATCATTTTTTTAAAAACAATTTATAAATTTGGGGGAAAAAGTTTTTAAACCATTCAGCAACTTGTCACGGAGATAACGGAAGATTGAAAGAAATCGAGGGAACTGGGAAGGAGTACAGAAAAGGGCGGGGGAAGGGAACTTTATGATGAACGCCAGTCTCTGCGGTTCGATTGTTCGGCCATCGCCTGTAATTCCCGAGCTCTATGTTCCTTGTATTACTCTCCGAAACCCTAATCGTCTCAGGAAGGATTATAAGTGCATTTCCTCCAGACTCAGTATCTCTGCTCCATCAGAAGAGTTTGGTCTAGTATCCGATGACAATGTTTCATTGCAAAGCCCGGTGATTAAGACCACGGAACGAGTTCCAGAAGAGGAAAAAGAAGTAGTAATAGCAGGGCCTGGTATAGACAGTGGAGGTTCTGGCATAACTCTAGAAGATAAAGCTTCCGGTTGGTCGACTAAAGCTAAGAAGAAGAAAGTGGAACAGGACAGCGATGATAATAGGTTTACTATCCGGAATGGAAGGGAGGTCGGTAACCGCTTCTCTTTCGTCTTTCTTTTTCCATTTTTGACGCTTGAAGATTTGGGCCCCGAGAGATACCTATTTTACCCTCAGTTTGTACTGGACATTTTTTTGGGCATTCCTCGGAAACTTTCCCGTTTATGCCCTCTTCGTTTTGAGTATTCGGCTTAATCCTTAGAGTCGTCATAATAATTTTGTCATATATAGAAAACGTCGAATGCCTCTATGAAGTTCATTGGACAAAATAATCGCCTGCCTTCACATTAGCAGATGCAGAATGCAGTTACCGCTTATCTCGCACAATGATGACTGTTTTAAAAGATAATATTATGCAAGTTTGTTTCATATCAATGGAAGGAAAAAGCAGGAAAATCACAAAAGCTGGCTGTGGAAATGCAATCTTGTGCATCATGGCGGCAGAATTTGATTTAGTCACTAGTCATATAGCAAGTAATCATGTGAATTGAAGAGAAGCATGTACAAACAACTATATTCTATAAAGTTACAATCCACTTCCTATTTGCTAAACTGCCACTGTTTGAATTGAATTTATTCCCTGCTTTCAGGTTTTTGAAGAAAAAGCCTACTTAGTGGGTGTTGAGTGCAAAGGTGATACACAGGATTCCTTTGGCATTGAAGAATCTATCAAGGAGCTAGCCCAGCTAGCTGACACTGCTGGATTAATGGTTGTTGGCTCTACTTACCAAAAGTAAGTTTTTATGATCTTTTGTCATAGTTTAATTTTCTTTTTGGTATTTGGCTATAGTTCCTTTGTTACATAATTTTGCAGTTTACTGGGCTTCAATTTAATATATAACCCTGTGTAGAATAGGTCTGTTGGCACTCTATACTGTAATCACAAAACTTGCTTGGGTTATAATTTTCATGTTAAAAGACTACTGGTGTACGTGCTCGTCAAAAGTCTTTCTAACGGTTACTTAGGAAAGTTGAAACTGAGATCATATAGATTCTGACCCTGGAGACCTACGTCTCATTCAAGAGATTCTTTTGCTATCTCTTGTCATGGGGTTTTCCAACTTCCAGAATATCATGTGTTGTTAGGCTAAATTATACAGTGTATTTCATTGCTAATTTTTCCTTTTTCTCTCGATTTTCATGAAATTATGCACATGCAGATTTGCATTCATTACTTTATGTGCAAAATTTTCTAATCCTTTCAAGCCATCTTTCTTGATGTTGTTTTGGCTATTGCCGGGGGATTTGACCCAGGACACCACATCCCAATGATGGAATGCGTGTTGTCATGTGAGGAGCATAAAATTGATGAAATGCATTGCAATAAAATGATCTAATTCGCTTACAGGATTCTTTTTAAGTCTATTGAGAATTTGAATGCTGCATGAAAATTGTCCGGCACCTTTTCTTTATTCAAAGAACATATTATCATCAGTTCTTAAAATGTTGTGAATGGTGCAGGCTTTCTAAACCAAACCCCAGAACATACATTGGATCTGGCAAGGTTTCCGAGATTAAGAGTGCAATTCATGCATCGGATGTTGAAACTGTAATATTTGATGACGAACTGTCAGCTGGGTGAGGGCCCCCCCCCCCAAAAAAAAAAAAATCCTCTTTTTGTTTCTGCATTCACATCGGCATCATTATCCAATGGGTGCCTCCTGTTGGTTTTTGTCCGTAGTATCATGTAGTTGGTAACATTCAACTATTCCATTTATTTTGAGTTCAACTTGTATACGCAAAGTGACCATATCAGAGTTGTAAAAAATCCAACAAAAATCAATGTTATGCTTGTTTGTATTTGCCTGGAGGTATTTGGAATCAAAATCTTTCTGTCTACTTAGCCCAAGGTTGCCCTGGAAATTTTATTTGATACCTCAGGTCACTTCATGAATGACTATTGATAACTTGGATGTTGTTGAATTTCCAGTTGAAAACTAAGAAGGCAATCAGCGTGCTTTAGCTACACTATAGCCTGCATGTTCTATCCCTTTATTCATTTCATAGGTTCCAATTATTCTGCACAGCTTTGCTTTTATGATCTTATAATTGACAGAAATAATTATCATAATCGTTTCTTTTTCACATTCAGCTCTTCTTTATGTCTTCCTTTTTGCTCTAGAGCTTCTTGCATAATAAAACTACTTATCCTCCCTCCTTTCAAACAATTACAGGCAATTGCGCAACCTAGAAAAGGTTTTTGGTGGAGATGTGAGAGTTTGTGACCGCACTGCCCTCATCCTTGATATATTTAACCAGCGAGCTGCAACACATGAAGCTTCTTTACAGGCAAATTGTTTAGCTTTTAGTTGTTTTATTATTAGAACCAGCTTTGGAAGATAGAAGAAATTTTAAAGCATTTCTCTGACAATGATATAGTCCTTCTAGGTTGCATTGGCACAAATGGAATATCAGTTACCTCGACTGACAAAAATGTGGACTCACCTTGAGCGTCAAACTGGAGGCAAGGTGAAGGGAATGGGTGAAAAACAAATAGAAGTGGACAAACGTATTTTGCGTAATCAAGTAAGCATGTTATCATTGTTATCGTCATTTTCTTATCTACTGAAATTTGCTCCATTTCTAAGGAACTAATGCATACATATTTTTCCAGAGTAGTATTATCCTCAAAGTTCTATAAACACAAGTTGCATATCTGATCAGTAACAGTTTGGTTACTTAAATTATGTTCTTTCTCTGCCATTATTAATCATCGAATGCCTTTTCTTTGACAGATAGGTGTCCTTAAGAAAGAGCTGGAAACCGTGAGGAAACATCGGAAACAGTACCGCAATAGGCGAATCTCAGTACCTGTGCCTGTAGTGTCCTTGGTAATTTATTGCCTTTATATTAAAGTCACTTCATGTCAAAGACTTTTGGCTATGCATTTTATACGTCATGATAATGCTGCAGGTTGGGTATACAAATGCTGGTAAGAGTACTCTTTTAAATCAATTAACAGGAGCAGATGTTCTTGCTGAGGATAAATTGTTTGCAACTCTTGATCCAACTACAAGGAGGGTACAGGTCAGTCAAAATATACCTGGATAACTTCTTTCTCCTCCACCCTTTCCCCCTTTCTACGGGATTATATTTTGTTGCCCAAAAATTACAACCCTGGGTAATATCCTTATTTTCCCCCGTTTGTGGTGCTTTTAAGATTTGTTATTTACCCAGATGAGTGTCTCTAAACTTCAGTTAGTAACAGAGGCAGAGTTATTATGGTACTCCCTCCGTTCCTTATTATAAGAGACATTTGATGCTTATGGCATGTTCCTATATATAAGAGACACTTACAAGTTGTCTCTACTTTTTTGTGTTGATTTACTATTTTACCCATATTTATTATCTCCAACTCACACTCTCTCTCCCTCCTACTTCTCTTTCTTTTAATAATCTCATGCTCTCTCTCCTTATTAATGAGGGTATTTTTGGAAAAAAAATTATACTTTCTACACATTAATTGTTCTTAACTAATTTTAACTGTTTTTTTGATCAACGTACTTCGGTTATTTGTCTCTTATAATAAGGAACGGAGGGAGTATTATGTAACAATGATATTAAGGAGACAAAACAGGGGAGGAAAGTTTTTCTGCTGCTATGCCTTCCTTGATTATGGGATGGCTAAAATTCGTTGTTTATATGCATTTAGAAGTTAATATACACAAAAGAAAGCTTTCACTGTTTTGATTATAGTTCATTTAATATTGGATACTTTGTTCATTCAATTTATCCAGATGAGGAACGGGAAGGAGTTTCTCCTCACAGATACTGTTGGTTTTATTCAGAAATTACCTACTACGCTGGTAAGAAGCCCTGCCAGATAATATAATCAATGCCACAGTTCCTTTTGCTGAAGTTGTTTGACACTGGTTATGTTATTGCTGATTTACATTGATTGTTTGAAGGATTTACCATAAAATAAGCTTTTATTATAAATATCTAATACCATGTTATAAAGTAATACCTTACAGCTTCCATTCATTTTTATTTTTTCTGCAGGTTGCTGCCTTTAGAGCTACACTGGAGGAAATATCTGAGTCGTCTCTTTTGGTGCATGTGGTTGATATCAGGTGTATATCAGGAGAACTATTTGGAGGAGCTTTTATAAATGAATAAAGAATGTCGATAGAACTTGTCATGTTAACAATTTATTATCTCATGAAATATTCTTGTGAAGTTCAGCCATCCCCTGTCGGAACAACAGATAGATGCTGTGGACAAAGTTCTGTCAGAGCTGGATGTATCTTCAATTCCTAGATTGATGGTCTGGAACAAGGTATAATACATTCTGATTCTATTGTTAGATACTTTAAATGGCATGGCATGTTAAGAGGGGAGTTGAGTTCTCTCACATGAAGGACTAGATACTGTTTCACCTTATATAGTGATTATGTTTATTTATTGTACCCAAGGTACTGTAAGTTGTCGACTGTAGGAAGTTATTTGACATGTTTTACAGAACAATTGAAAGGAGGGACTAACATGATTTTTCGTTAATGGATTAAAAGGGTATTTTAATGTAAAGTTTTCATGCTATTATTTAGATTAGCATCAACAGGCATTGATTTAACCAAAATGCTTCTACACCGTATTCAGAATTTAATGCATTGTGTTTGTTCTTCTTTTTATTTTAATTTTTTTGGGTAATTTATTACTTTTTTTAGGTTAAAGTATATATTTGGTCATTTAATTTTATGTAAAGTTTCAGTTTGGTCTTTTAACTTTAAAAAGTATATTTTTAGTCCTTTAATCCTGAAATTGTTAGTTTTAAATGATGATTTTTTTTATCAATTATAGTTGTTTTGAAAATTAAACTTAATATGTCAACATTTAGTAATGTTCTATTAATATTCAAGAGTTCAATATTATCATTTTTTGTTATCATTTTTAGGGTTAGAGGACTAAGTTTACTTTTTAAAGTTAAGGGAGCGAGGCCAAGTTTTTCCTGTCTCCATCAAGATTACTGTGCATGTGAAGTGCTTATTGCAGTATGAACTTAAGGTCGAACATTCTTGTGTCTTTGGCTTCTTATTGCAGATTGATAAGGCTAGTGATCCCCTGAAAGTCAGACGAGAAGCAGAGAAAAGAGAAGATGTAGTATGCATATCTGCCCTGAATGGGGATGGCCTACATGAATTCTGCAACGCAGTTCAAGAAAAACTGAAGGTGCTGAATTGAAGCCTATATATGCGTACAACCCACCTTGTTAGTTTTCACCTGTTGAGATCACGAGGTGTATTTCTTTGGAACTAATTACTTGTGCCACAAAAAACATTTTGTTCTATAACAGGATTCCATGGTATGGGTGGAAGCGTTGCTCCCATTTGACAAGGGGGACCTTCTCAGCACGATACATCAGGTTGGAATGGTTGAGAAATCTGTAAGTAAACGCCCCTCTCCCTTCCCAGTTGGCAACTGATGATCAGTGTCAACTCTCTCTCTCTCTCTCTAAATGAAGATTGCGCACCGTTCCCTCATCTAATGGTTTTCCTCCTTTTTGTGAGTAATCCTTACATTTTGCTTCCTCGTAACATATAGGACTATACAGAGAAGGGGACATTTATCAGGGCGCATGTACCCCTGCGTTTTGCAAGATTGCTCACGCCCATGAGGCAACTGTGTGCATCACGACCTTAGTTCTCTAAAATGATTACGCTGAAGTGTTTACAATAGCCATACCATTTGCTTTGTACTGGCAGCTGCATTCAGCGATGTACAGGCCGCAGGGGATCTGGGCACCCTCGAAGTTGTAGATATGTATTTCTTTTATCATGTTTGCTTAGCCTTTTGAAAGTGAGAACATCTGAGAAATGGTGAAAAGTGCAGATTTCAATTCTGGCCGGATGTAAGTACCTCCTCAAACTATAAAGTTCAACAAATATTTACGGGTTCATTTGAATTTATCTTCCAAATTTTCAGCTATGTCAATGATCTTCCACTTCAAAGAGGCCACTACCGACCTATAGCCTAACACGAAAGGTCGCGGGTTAAAGTGCATGTTCTATTTTGTTGTACAAAAATATTCAGACGACCTGAGCTTGTAGCATCAGCGGGGTTGCATAAATGGGAGTTATACTCCGTCATCCATTGTCTCTAGGGTGTCCCACCGTCATCGATTGCTTCTACGGCGTCCGTTCTCGTATTTTATTATTATTACTACTACTACTGCTATATTATTATTATTATTATTATTATGGAGAAGTAATCTTTCGAAGTTGAAGTTGAAAATAATTAATAAAATACTCGTATGCTGTGTTTAACTTTAACCTCACAGACTTCGCATATCCTCAATTTTAATAGTATTTCGGTCCATGGTTGCTGATTGTCCTTCAGCTCTTGGTGTGACCTGTGACGCGTCCCTTGGTTTGGTTCGCCAGAAAAGAAAGAAAGAAAAGGAAAAATAATCTGAAAAGCGAAAAGTCTAACCGAGATTTTGAGTGAAGAATCAGTACTGATATACTCAATCATTTAGAGGACATCTCATATTTTGTTTCTACAGCAAAATGGGCATCTCAGAGGTTTTCGTTTATAACCTTGGTTAATACCACCTCTAATCTTTAAAATGAGAACTAATTAGAGATTTAATTGAGTTCTAAATATGCATATTATTAATAAAAATATTTTAAATAATATGATATCTATTTATTATGAATAATGAATTTAATTAATTTTTTTAATATTTATAAATTAATTATGTAATTTTTACATTTGATAAATGATTTTTGTCCTACAATGCTCTGGCAGTATTGGGCTACTATATTTGTGTTAATTTGAAGCCCAGTTTACTAATGACGTGCATTGCATCAGCATGTGTCTGGACTCTCGAGTATCTTCTTTAGAATGGGGGCAAGAAAATAGAGAAGCCTGAAGTGCTGAACCGCCCTTCTCTTTCTCACCGATCTATCCTGTGCTGACGCGGTAATTTCTCGTTTCTCATTACTCAGACTCCAGAGGCAGAGCAGATGCTAATTGAGCATCGAGGATCCAGATTGTAACCGGGAACCCTAGAAATGCGAAATTAGAGATTCAAAAGCTCAAGTGGCAGAAAAATGGCGAAGCAGTCGAGCGCCTGGGTGGCAACGCCGAAGAACAAGTGGCCGTTGATACTGTTGGTATTGTTCTCTCTTTCAACGGTGATGGTGGTCTTCTTGAGAGCTACATCTGATTCCTGCAATACAAGCACTGGCAGTGGCACTGAACAGCTTGGATCAGAAGATAATCAAGGAAAGGCTCCCATTCACTCGACCATCCAAGTCGGAAATTCAGCACCGAGTCCTTTGGAATTCATGAAGTCTAAGCTTGTTCTCATGGTTTCTCACGAGCTCTCCCTTTCAGGTTCTTAATGAAACCTCATTTTCCACGTTCGGTTTTGGTGATGCGCCGTTGAGTACTAGAAATACAATTTACTTACTACGGATTCTCTTACTCGTTAAACAATGCAGGAGGTCCATTATTGTTAATGGAATTAGCATTTTTGTTGAGGGGCGTTGGTTGTGACGTTGTCTGGATCACTTATCAGAAACCTGCAGAACCTGACGAGGTGATTTACAGTTTAGAGAATAAGATGTTGGACAGAGGAGTGCAGGTGATCTTAACTCTTTCCTTTTTTCATTCTATCGATTACTATTTCTTTTTTGGTCAAAGGAAAAAAGAAAGACTATTATTTCTTCGTCCTTCCGCATATCATTGCTCTACAGTGTTGCTTGACTATAAATGTTTTCTTAATTACTGCTTTTCTAGAATATTTGCTTAATTACCAATGAGAAATGACATAAACGGTATTCTAAATCTCTGTCCCTCTTTTATTTTGTGGTTGACTTCTGATAGGTCTTTCCTGCCGATGGTGAAAAGGCCATAGATACAGCTCTTAAAGCTGATATGGTCATTTTAAACACTGCTGTATCTGGGAAGTGGCTGGATACTGTTCTTAAAGAAAAAGTTCCCAATGTTCTTCCAAAGGTTTTATGGTGGATTCATGAAATGCGAGGGCATTATTTCAAAGTGGAATATGTTAAGCACCTCCCTTTTGTTGCAGGTGCCATGATCGATTCACACGTAACTGCAGAATTATGGAAGAATAGGACTAGGGAGCGTTTAGGGTATCTTTCCAGTATCTTGCAACGTGATTCTAAATTTAGTTTCCTTCATGCTCTTTCTAATAATGCTGATGTTGTGCTCTCTATTGTTGTAATTTTCTTTATATCCATCTTTCTTCTTATTCTTTGTTTGCACTGGTCCCATTCTGCAGGATTAAAATGCCTGAGACTTATGTTGTGCATCTGGGAAATAGCAAGGAACTGATGGAAGTTGCTGAAGATAGCGTAGCTAAGAGGGTTCTTCGTGAGCATGTCCGGGAATCTTTGGGAGTGAGAAATGATGATATACTTTTTGCTATCATAAATAGTATGCTTTCCTCCTTGATATTTACTAGTGATACTCGATTGATATGGCAATGTAGTTCATGGCTTGACTGACGTCTTTTTCTTGTCCTTTCTGTTGTTAAATGGAAGAAGGAGAAGCAAAATGGCAGCAAAAAACTAAAATTTGTAATTTGCCGCCAGAAACAAGGTTTAATGTAAATTTAATGATTTAGGTCTAGCAGAACTTGTTTTAAAGTTACTTTATCACTTATATCTGTTTGTCAGTCTTATTTTTTCGTGGTCTGAAAAATTTTAGCTAGCAAACTTCAATTCGCTTAGGGTGCATTGGACCCCTTGGATATGACCAAGGAAATCATTTTTTTTGGCAATATTTATTGTACTCTTGTCACACCTGCAATCATTATTATTATTATTTAAAATGCAACACCAGGTTATTCTTCATCCTCAGTCATTTTTTTTATTTTTATTTCACTTTCTATTCCATTCCATTCTATGTATGAAACGAGCCTAACTTTGAAATGAGAGAGGTGAAGTTAGGGCTGAGGAAACAGAATGCGATAGGATTCCACCAATTTCTTTCATGTGATAGATTACAATTTATAATTAGATGTAGTGCATGCCTATCAAATCCTTGCATTTATATGTCTCCTTTTACTACAAGTTTATAATCTAAGCACTAGGCATGATATGATTGCAGGTGTTTCACGTGGTAAAGGCCAGGATCTGTTTCTTCGTTCCTTCCATGATAGTCTGAAACTGATCCAGCAGAAAAAACTACAGGTGCCAGCACTGCATGCTGTAGTTGTGGGGAGTGATTTTAGTGCGCATACAACATTAGAAATAGAACTGCGCAAATATGTGGTAGACAAAAAGATTCAGGATCGTGTTCACTTTATTAACAAAACCCTGACAGTGGCTCCTTACCTGGCTGCTGTTGATGTTCTCGTTCAGAATTCTCAGGTATTTCTAATAATATGGATTGTTAAATTGAGTAGAAAACAAAAAGTATGTTACAATTCTATCATTTCACAATATGCGTTATTGAGTAGAAAACAAAAAAACGTTGCATTCTATCATTTCACAGTATATGAGTTGCTGCTTGACTAAATGACTTCTCTGCTCTAATGAGAATTTTAGTTGCCAATTTATTTGTTTTGGCTTCCATTACGTATTAATTCAAACTGCAGTGAAGAACGGATGATATAATTATGTTTGATGTCCCTGGTGCAGCACCATGAAACATTCAGAAGATTACTAATCAGATTTTTGTGATTATAATGGCCTTGGATTTTTCTTCCAAAGGATTAGATCTCTCAATCTTGGCATTTTGACATGAGCTTTCTCTTCGTTGCAGGGAAGGGGGAATGTTTTGGGAGGATAACCATTGAAGCAATGGCCTTTCGCCTGCCTGTATTGGTATGTTCTTTATAAGTTCTTTAGCCAATACGCTTTTGCTTCCTTACTTTTGGCAGGGTTTCATCTGCGCCTCAAGTGTTCAAATTGTCTATATTGATGGAGGGGTTTTACATGTTTCCTAGAATATAATGTTGGACGGGCTCCTTCCATCCAAACCAGGAAATAAACTGGAAATGGGGAAGTCAGGAGCAAGAAAAATGGGTTTTTATTGGTTAGAAAAGTGTTTCCAAAATATAATGTTGGACGGGCTCTTCCTTATTAGAGCTTAATATAGAATTGAATGGAGGAATACAGAGGACAGGAGAGAGATAGTACCATATTTCTTCCATTTTTAAAAATCAAAGGTCACCAGACAACCCCCCCCCCCCCAAAAAAAAAAAAAATCCTTCAAGAATAACGGATATGCCTGCACTTTCGGCGTCCCCATTGGCACATTTACCATAAACAAATCATCTTAATTGCAGGGTATGAGACCCTTCTGTTTTAATTTTACATTATTTTCCACAGCTATTGATAATTTCTATGAATAATATAGTTACAGATTATCATATTTTTGTTGCTTACTGTAGAAACCATTACTAGCTAACCTTTTGGCCAAACAAACAAATACTAGTACTAGCTAACTCTTTACGTGGTCACCGCATGTTGGGGTTATATGCATTTCTTTTCGTGCCGGTTTATCAAGCCATATATTATTTTTTGCCTTCATTGAAAACAATGCCAGGGTACTGCGGCTGGGGGCACGATGGAGATTGTGGTAAACGGGACAACCGGTTTGCTGCATCCTGCTGGAAAAGAAGGCATGAAGCCTCTTGCAAACAACATTGTAAAATTGGCAACTCATGTTGAGAGGAGGCTGACTATGGGAAAGAGAGGTTACGATAGAGTGAAGGAGATGTTTATGGAGCACCATATGGCCCATAGGATTGCTCTGGTTTTGAAGGAAATTTTACGGAAGGCCAAGAGACAGAATTGACCAGTTCTCATATTTATCACTTAAATTGTAAATTAAACTCAACGAGAAAAAAGAATGTTTTGGTGATTGTATCCTATCCTTAATGCCACACGTTGCGGAAAATTGGTCGATGTATACAACCACGTCACTCGCTTGATTCTGGCAATACATATATAATTGGTAAATAAATATTGGTCTAATGAAGATAACTCGGTGTACGTGCGTGTGCGTGTGCGTGTGTGCGTGTGTGTGAGAAAATGAAGAGGGCATCTTTTTCTGTGTATGATTGTGGTAATGAGAGTGCAAAAGAACAGTGGGAAGGGGATCGAAAGAGGAGAGAAGAGGGGCCGATTATGTATTTATCATTTAGAGAATTCGAGGTTACTCACCCCGACCCCCCCCCCCCTATATATAATAATAATTACGTTGTCTTTATCACTACTTTAGGCTTCTTCATTCAACCAATAGAGGAGGTAGTTACCGTCTCTCTGTCATCCATGCGTTATTGCCTGATATGTGTTATATGAACTCATTTGAAGATTAAAATAATAGAAGGATGATGTATAATACTAATTAATGATAATATATGTTTATTAGGATCATATACTGTCAATATTAAAGTTTAAAATTAATCTGCTTGAGTTTTTTTTTTTAAAAAAAAAAAAACCATGGACCTCCGTGTTAATTCTCTGATATCTTACAAAGAGAAATTGCCAGGTGAAATTAATTGAGAATATATAACAGCTTAAGGAAATCAATAATTTAATATTTTTCTGGTCCTAAATATAAGATCCTTATAATATAATTGCCAAATGAAATAAGATGTAAAAAAAAAAAAGGCTTTGAAAATAAATAAATGTTTTTACCTAAGCCGCCCCTCTAATGCCAGGGACCATCTGAAGGCCTGAGGACAGTGAGAGCATCGGAAATCAGATCATGGTTCCGTCCGTCGCTCTTCTCTTGAAATAATGTTTTTTTCTTTACTTAAAATTACACTTCTGCCATTTTCCTTACTTGTGTTAAAAAATTAAATAAATTTCGTTTTCATATCATATGCCATGTGTGTTTCATTATTGTGATATCGCAAACGGCGTTAATGGGAGAAACAGCAAGAGGGCTTTGATATAAAATAAATAAATAGGTAAAAGCTCACGAAAGTATAATTTGAACCGAAGTGATTCTGGAAAAAGTTTAGAGATATGGTTTATATATTTTTGCCTAAATTGAAGCGTAAGATAAAACTTATAAAAATATGCCTCGCATCATATGCCAAAAGTGAGAAAGTGATACAAGTTGAAAAGATCAGATAGGAGGCCTATTTTTTCATTATTATTTATTCAATACCTTCCGAGTCCCAGCCTTCCTCCTTGAATGAAACAAAAGATACATTGATTTTTCTAAAGCGAGGGTTGACTGATAATTAAGAAATATTAGTCGTGATATACAGAAATTTGGTCTAAGAAAAAGAGTTAGTTGCTCATGAAGTGATAAACTAACGGTTAAACCTCATTAAATCACCAAAGCACTTTAAAATAAAGAGAAAAAGAAAGAGGAGGAAAAAGTAGTATTCATGGGCCGAAACACGTGGGTACATATGGCGCTTTTCCACTCTGTCTAAAGTGAGGACATCTGGTAATTTTGAAGATTGCTAATTTGAGAGGGCAAAATGGTGAGGCGCCAGATTAATTAAGCATGGATAATTTATTATATTAAAAAAGTAGAGAAAAGAATTAAAAAGGATCAGCAGGGAGTAGGGAGCTTTAAAAAATTAAAATAGCTAGTGCTGTCGGAACGCGCATTTCATGTGAGAAATGAGAATGGTCCCTTGAGAATGAATACTCCTCGCCGACACGTATGAATCAGAAGCCAATTCGAACTATTTGCATGTCCCAAAAAGAGTCATTTGAAACCCCACTCGGGATTTAGTACGGATGGAACATTTGGTCTTTTAAGCTCAACACGCATTCAACTCAACACATTCTTTTTTATCTTAACACAGCAATTAAAGTTTTAATGCACGTTGAGAACTATATATAAGTGGCGTCAATTTATTATTATTATTTCAAACTTCTTTTTCAAATTGTTTAGGAAGAGTATTATGGCCAGGATCCAGCCATTATTGTTAGAATGGGTGCGCTTACACTTTCCAACACGTATCATTTGATTATATACAAGCAATTAACAACTTAAACAGAATCACTAAATTCAGGTGTGCTCAGATTATCTCTTGGTTCACCTCTCCAGGCTATGCTTAACACACTATGTACTGTACTATATTTTTGGGTTTACGTTTTACTATGCCACCACATTTTTCAAAGGGCTGGAGAGGATCCATCTGAACGTCGTAGGATATTTGTTTCTAGGTTATCGTTGCTCATCACGTTCGAAAGGGCCAACAACGTGTTCCATGCACATATATGTATAATTATTAAGTATTAATTGATACAAAATGAAAAGAGAAAAAGATAGCACATTGCCCTTCCACAATATAATGAAAGGAGATTCCTCTGCACTGTACAGACACAACACATGGGAGCAGTTGCCAGTTGAGCAGTATAAAAAGCGAGTTTTGGGAGCGAAGTGACCACCAACCACTCGCACCATCTCAACACACACACAGTTACGTTGAGTTGGTCCGCGCATCAGGGGAAAATGCAACATATGGATTCTGATATGGATGTTCGCATGACGAAGCTCAGTTTATACCATTCCACGCTTCAAGGTGATTTTGGGAGGAAGCTTTGACGATATACAAAAACAAAGTGAGTATTATTCACGATGCAGCGATCAACAGCTCCGGCGACACATTGTTGCATGTGGCGGTGAACGACGACAGAGGAGATATGGTGGAGAAGCTAGTAATGGAAATCACGAGAAGTGGGTCGTTGTCGGCGCTGCAAACAAAGAATGATCGAGGAGACACCCCACTGCACCGTGCTGCATCAAGAGGGTCCCTCCAGATGTGCAAGTGCATCGCCGAAGCTCAAAGGGACACCCAACTGATTGAAGCTCGCAACAAGGAAGGAGAGACTCCCCTCTTCTTGGCCGCTCTTCAAGGTGAAGAGGAAGCTTTCCTTTACCTCCACTCTCGTTGCCCCGACCCAAGTAGGCGCCTCTGGAAAAGATCCAGCGATGGAGAGACTATCCTTCACTGCACCATCCGCCGAGACCACTTTGGTTGGTTACTCCCTTATTCACTCATTTCATCTCCATCCCTTGTTCTTATCAATCATTTAACTCATTTCTGCTCGCATTCTTCATATGTAGAGTTGGCATTGGAAATCATTCGTCTTTACGGAACGCATATAGTGGGCTCCGTGGATGAAAAGGGAATTAGTCCTCTCCATACCCTGGCTGACAAACCTTCCGCCTTTGAAAGCAGCAGCAATTTCAGATGGTACAACAAGCTTGCCTACAACTGTAAGTATATCGATCGCTAGTTCAGGGATAAAAAACTGAAGTTGCAGCCAACAATCATGAGATCCAGTGGCCCCACATTTCTTTCTTCTCTGTTTTTTCCTTCTTTTACCTCGTTCTTTACCGGAGAAGAGAGAGCTTAATTCATGAAAGGGGACCCCAAAAAAAACAAAAAGGAAAGGAAACAAAGAACATAAGCCCCCCCTTTTTTTGGTCAAAATAAAGAACATAAGCCCCTTTACATGGATGGCAATTGTAGAATTTTTAATGACACAAATTAAAGTGTATTTCTTTGGTATCTTCTGGTAGATATATCGATAATTGAAACATTTATATATTTTCCTTTTGTGGCGCAAGGCATATGCGTGAAGTCATTGAGGAGCCTCGAACAGCGCCCAGGTAAAATCATCTGAAAGACAAAGAACTCAGGCTGGCAAGTTCAATATAAATGAAAATATGCTTCGTATATCTTTAGTTTGCTTGGTTTAGTCTTAAAGTATATATAGTTGCATGCAGTAATCAAGTAGTCTATTGTTCCTTTATAATTAAAGTATCTTATGATACAGTTCATGTTTTGTTGTACGCAGGAGCGGATGCAGAAAACCCAAGTTACGACGGATATGAAACTGTGCCGCCAAATTACCGGACATGTTTTGACATTTTCGCGCGTGCATTCACCTTTGTTATGTGTTCTGTCGTTAAAACCCTAGGTATACACTCTCGATCGCTACCTAATTACAATATTAGTAACTGACAGGCGCTAGCTTACTTACGCTGATATAATATAAATGTGTTAAGGTGTATTCAACACCTTCAAATATATTTTTTATCGCATTCAACACTCTAAATTATTTGATGTTACATCCAGCATCTTAAAATATTTTTTTTAGTATATCTACCAACTTAAAATAATTTTTAGTGCAATTTTACACGTAGCAATTTAGGGTATTGAATGTGTAAATCAAAAAATAATTTGAAGTATTAAACCCACTTGAAAAAATACATTAAATGCACTAAAATATAATTTAAGGTGTTAGACGCACATGAAGAAAATACTTTAAGACGCTCAATGCATCACGAAATATTTTATGATGCTAGATGCACCATAACCCTATAATTATTTGTGAATCATGGTTTTAATTCTCTGCTGACGATACATGTGGTTTTGTTTATATAAAGGATTTTGGAAACTAAAGGATTTGGAGAAAAAGAAACAAAAGCACGTCTGGTGTCGCCAAATACTGGATCGACTTTGGGAGAATAAAGATGTAGCATACGTTGGAGGCGGAAGTGCCCTCCAAAGCTATTCCTTACATCATGGAGCTACCGAAGGAGAATTATCATTTCCCAGATCTAGTGGTCAGATCATTGACAAACAAGATTTTTCACTTTTAATTGAAATTTCCCAATTTCTCTGCAAAAACTATGTAATATAATTAATTGCAGGCCAAAATTAATACTATAAAACCCGAAGTTTGATTCGAGTCGTCGTGTTATTCTTGTTGTGCTTAATCTAATTTACATTCTAATTTTTAAAAGGATTCGAAACCCAATCTCTCATATGAATTGCAGGTAAAAAGAATGAGGAGACTAAAATTGTTGATGTGGATGAAAACAAATTAAAAGGTAACTTCTAACATTAATTATATCATGTCATTGAATTTTGAAACTTAGGAGTCTTTAATCACAACATGTAAACTAAAAGTATTCCTTAGCTCCCAATTTTGTTCTCTTATTGTCTAAATTAACGTTTCAAAACTCTCAAGAATTGCGAGAACTCCTTACAAGCTTGTGGAAAGGCAAAACTAGTGGATCTGAAAGCAAGGCTTTTATCGGATGCTGCATATGTCTAGGTTAGTGGCATATCCTCTATTTCCTTACTCAGATTCCACTACACCATATTCATTGGATTTGTCTGCAGGCGACGGAGAGAAGAAGGAAGAATGGGACAGAAAGGAGTCGGCATTATTTGTTGCAGCGAAAAATGGAGTTTTGGAAATACTGAAGAAAATTCTTAAGGATAAACCAGGGGCCATCCATGAAACCAACTCGAAAGGCCAAAATGTGTTGCATATAGCAGTCGAGTACAGGCAACCCCATGTTTTGAAGCTTCTCGAGCAGCAGAAGTTGTGGGATAACCTCGTTCAAAGCATAGACAATGAAGGAAACACTATCCTCCACTTGGCCGCCAGGCTCTCCCAGTACAAGCCCTGGCACATCCCTGGATCTGCCTTGCAAATGCAGTGGGAAATCAAATGGTTTCTGGTATCATTAACTAATACTCATTCCTCTTCAACTTCAACCTCAATCAAATCGAACATATAGTTTAATCTCAGTTGCATATAATCTCCGGCTTTTTTTGCAGTATGTCAAGGATATAATGCCCAATTATGTGTCATTCCTCCCGAACAAAGGCCATAAGACACCGGTGGAAATTTTCAGAGAAGATCATGAGAATCTAATCAAAGAAGGCACTGATTGGCTCAACCACACGTCACAGTCGTGCTCTGTGGTGGCCGCACTTATTGCCGGCGTGGCCTTTGCCACGTCTACGAACGTCCCCGGCGGCACTCAGGAGCAGACCGGCATGCCTACATTGGAAAGCCACCCGGCTTTCAACATGTTTGCGCTCACCTCCCTCTTGTCTCTCTGCTGCTCCATCACCGGTCTCATCATGTTCCTCGCCATCCTCACCTCCCGCCATCAGCCTAGAGATTTCCGCAAAGATTTGCCTCTAAAACTTTTTTTCGGGTTGAGTTCGCTCTTCGTCTCCATCGCTTCCGTGTTGGTTTCTTTCTCCGCCGCATTCTTCTTTGTGCTCAAGGAGAAGCAGGTTGTTTTCCTGCTCTACGCCGCCACCGTCTTGCCCGCTGCTTTCTACGCCGTCTCCCAATTCGCCCTTTATGTTGATCTTGTCAGAGCTATCTTCCGCAAGGATCCCCAGTCCAGCAATAGAGAATCTGAGAAGCTTATTCTCTGAAACTCTAATTCCTTTTCCATCAATATTGTCCCAATCACCGAATAGTGCTCTGTTTTGTTATCAACAGCTCCGGCCAGCAAGTATTTTGAAGTGATGATTTCATTGTTGTGTTGTTTCAAATTTTATTACCGTATAAAAATCTCCCATGATCATCTAATGAAAGAGATATTCTAAATCGTTTCGTTTTGAGTCCAAAAAAAAAAAATCGTTTCGTTTAGTTATTGAATTGAATCTCTCTTACAACGTTTATCCCCTAATCAAAGCTGGTATTTGGCGCTATTTATAAAGATCCCCAAAACGAGTGCAGTCTTCATTATTTACCGTATACACGAATTCGATTCAAGAGTGTTTACAGTGTGAGGCAGACAAAATTGAGAACTACGAGTGGCATCAATTTCGAAACTTTTTTATGTTTTCGCAAAATGAGAGCTTGCTTCTCGCAGTTAAAGTTATTTTTTGAAAAGAAATCAAGTCTGTATCTGACGAAAGGAACAAATTAAACTACAGGAGGATGATATATATTCACAGGACAGCAGCATTCACTAAAAAAAAATGAGACGTCTATTAAGGAGGAAGGGGGTGTTTGGGTAAGATCAAAACAATAGTTTCAGAAGTACTTTTACAGTACACGAAATAAATATGTGGAGAAGTTTGCCTCGATTTGTAAAAAAGTACTTCTGAAAAGTGATTCTTGGGGTATCCAAACACCTCCGAAGTTCAGTACAAATCAAACGTAAACCTAATTCTTACCCCAGCTATCTATTTTTCACTTCATTAATATTTTAGATTTATTAACATAAAATACAAATTTTTCTTGTAGACATTAAAAGTCATATATGTTCATTCTTAATGTAAAAATTAATACCGTTACAGCTTTATAACATTTTTAGAATGACTTGTAGTAAAAAATATTAGGTATGTTTTTAATAACATGTAAAAAATATTATGTATGTTTTTAGACCAATTTTCTTTACATATAGTAATGTGTGTGTATTTTTAAAGTGAAATATTTTACATATATGCATGATATTTTATCCTTTTCTCAAAATCCCCCCGGGAAAAAAATAACTCAATCCTGCATCCTCCCCTACCTCTCACCCTTTTCTCTTTATAAGGCACTCTGTGATGTGTTTACTTTCCTAATGCTTCGGAGGGTTCTTGTCTCGTTTGAAACTTGAGGTACTTTCATCAGGGATTATCATAATAGCATTACCTCAGAAGTTAGCTTTAAGGACGCGGAACACTCAGAATGATCCGCCAAACTAAATGTAAAAATGAACTCGAACCTGAGCATCAAGGGACTGGAGCAGGCGAATCAATAATTTACAGAACTTCTTACGGTTGAAAGATTAAATTATAATAAACATTTGTATATTTATGGCAGTGCACGAAATTTAAATAATGTGTTATACAATAAAGGGCAGTGTGAAGTGTTAGTAAGTATATTCTATGCTGGTTTAACTCGTGGAGGGAGAGATTCAAATGTCAGCGTTGAGATAAAATATTAGTACATGTTTAACTTTAGAAAACGCTGAGATTAAATATTAGTACATATTTAGCTTCAGAAGAAAATTAAAAATAAGTATTTTTTAAAATTTAATTATTAAGTTAATCTTAATTTTAAATATAAAACTTATTTTTTATATTTGTTAATTTTTTCCCTCAATTATAATTAATAATTAAGTTAAAAACAAGAGCGATGATATTAAAAAAGACATCTAAAAAATAATTATAATATTTTTAAAAAAAAATATCATATTTTTTATAATTAATTAACTTAAAATAACTCTGTGTTCGTATGTGCTGCTTTCATTTCTGAAGTTGGAAGTTGAACCTTGAAACTGGTGCTAACATCTGGAATCGGTGGGTAACCCCAAATCCGAATTAGCATGGAAGTGGATCGGATAGCAGGTTTAGCGATTTCTCCCCGTCTCCGATATAGACATGGACGTGTTCCGAAAATTTCCTGTTTGTCGATGGCCCGAAGGTCGCCGGCTTCCTCCACAATAGCGACCCACAGCAGTTTGTCGGAACCGCAATCTGGAAAGCGGATGTTTATTCTAGGAATGGGTTTTGTTGGGCAATTGCTTTCATACAAGCTCCAGAACCAAGGATGGTGATTCTTTGCCCATTTCGTGCCAATTCCATCTGTATACTTATCCTAAATCTTTCGTTGCCAATATACACCTTTGTTATTTTGTTTACATTTTTTCCCACGTCGACGAATGATTGCTCTTGAAAACTCATTAGCTTATCATACATATCTTGTATAGGATTGTGTCAGGAACTTGCACTAGTCTTATGAAGAAGGAGAAGCTTGAGGACAGGGGATTTCACATGTACCATTTGGATGCACTCGAGCCAGAGTGAGTCAATAAGCATGTAACTATAAGTTCTTCTGTGATGCCTTCAGAGTTTGTTTCATTGTCTGTAAGCTATTATTTGCCTTGTTTTAATCTTTTGCGCTGATCTTAATTTTATTTATTTATTGTGTGAGATTTGGAGTTTATTTGGGGCCTATTTTTTGTCCATTACTGATGTCGTGTAATTAATACGGAGGTATTCTAATTGAAAGGCACATAAGATACGGTGACTGAATTTCTTTGTCCATTTTGCCCCCTTCAAAAACGGTGTCTCTCTTTTTCTTTCTTATCTTTTTTTTTTTCGTCCCTTAAATATGCTGAGAATATTTCATTTGTTTCTTGCAGACTTGGCATCCTAGATCAGATGAAATATTACACTCACCTTCTTGTTTCCATCCCTCCCATCATTGGTATCGGTGATCCAGTATGCTATTAATATCTTCCTCTTTTTTTTCCCAGCGTTCCGAACTGGTTTTCTATTTGGGCATTGTCTCCTTCAAAGCCTTTGTTTTACTTTTATTACACTGATTTGCAGATGCTTCAACATGAACCGCTTTTAAGAAGTTCATTAGTTAACGGAAATATCCGGTGGCTCTGTTACTTGTCTTCTACCAGTATGTCTTCAATTTCAACTTCGTTGAATTCGCTAAATTGTCTAATCATTTCTGTTTCTTCATGCACATAAATTACATAATGTTATGAATCATTATCGTGCTCAGTAATGAAACCCTATGCATTTCCTTTTCCCTTCAATAAAGAAAACCGTTTATGGCGATAAGGTGGATCTGTGGTTTGAAATCTGCGTTAAAATAAATCACTTAGAAATACTCATGTTGCTCTCAGCAAGTAACCTTGAGAACAAATTTTTGAACAGGCCTTCTGTTCTGGCTTGATTTATGCTATGATCCTTCTTGCTGGCGTTAACTGTGATCCTACCGTCCTAGCTAGTTCTGTAATCTTGCAACAGTGCTTAATTCAGATTGGAGGGTTACATAATATGATCCTGAAGGGAAATTGGTAGGGGACAAGTCTTCTGATAAGCTGATGAAATAACCACGGTTATTTACATATCTAAAAGAATAAAAATCCCCAAAAGTTGGTTACACTTGTTTTTAATATCTCAACAGTCATAAATTTGAGCTGTGAGATTGATCTAATGCAGTAATCTTGTTTAGCAGGCGTCTATGGAGACTGTGGCGGAGACTTGGTGGATGAAGAGTAAGAGAGTGCAACTTGAAAAAATCACTTTTTGCTTTCAAGTTTCTGAAACTGCTCTATTTGTTGGCCCTAAGTGTATCCATCGTCTTCTGGCAGCTATCCACCTAACCCAACCAGTGAGTCGGCTAAGTTAAGGTTAGCCTCTGAAGAAGGCTGGTCGGATTTGGCTCACTATCTTGGCATTTCACCATATATATTTCGGCTTGGAGGTATCTATGGCCCTGGTAGAAGGTAATTGGTCTTTATCCTTAGATTTATCCTTCATGCAACGAGTTACAAATTATTCCAAAATCAACCACAGATCACCATCCCCAAGCGTCATTGGGAATTTAAAATCCGAGCTCTTGCTTACTGTTGGATGGTTTATTATTACTCCCAACTTCCCGGTATGTAAATCACATTCTAGGAGATTTTAAATATTCAAAATGTAAGCCACTTTATAAAATCAAGACAACATTAGATTTTTTTTTCCCTACTTGCCCCGCGTTAAATAATCAAAAAGTCATGGTGAACAGAGTGTAAGAGAGATGTCGTTAAGATGAGGCTACAATTTAAGAAGGATAATTATAGAAAGTTATAATAAGTTTTTTAATCTGTGTGAAGTTTTTAAAAGTGACTTGTATATAGAGATTGAGTTAAACATATAAGATCATACTGTTATACTGCCCATTTATTTTTTGGAGGATCACAAATATGTCGCTAATGAAAAAAAGAAAAAAATTAATTACTCGTGGGTCCCTGCTACATGGAAATATAGAAATTTGACATGCAGGTACGGAAGTTTGGCATGTTAATGGGATTGAAGAAATCATTAGTTTTCCTTCTTTAGAACCTGTTTGTAATTCTCTCCTTTATTATTTTTCTTTTAAGATATTTTTGTCTTTCAAACTAAAACAATTGTCATGTTATAGTGCCATCGAGACAATAGTCAAGCAGGACCCATTGTCTGAGTCTCAGAAGAGGAGGAAATACCGAAAATATACATCAAGAGTTCACGTTGAGGACATTTGCCAGGCGATTATGGCTGCAGCTAAGGCACTTTCCCCTGGGTAAGTTTCTATTTGCAATTCTACGTTGCTTTGTACAATTTTGTTTAGATGATTGTGAAACATATCAGAACTTGTGGATTAAAACGTTGGGCATCTCATTTTCAGCAAAGTGTACAACATTGTTGATGATGATCCTGCTCCCCGGGAACAAGTATTTGAATATGCAAGAAAATTGGTGGAGAAAAAGTGGCCGGGTTTGATCACACAAGCAGCCGAGGAGATAGAGTGGTCAAATGTAGAAAAACCAAGAGACGTGAGGGGTGAGAAGCGAGTGTCTAATGCTCGAATGAAGGAGCAGCTGGGAGTGCGGCTGCTTTATCCTGATTATGCAACAGGATTGCAAAGCGTACTGGACAAGATGGATACCCTTACGTATAATCTTGATGCCAATTAATATTCGCCTGAGGGGTAATAGCTAGCCAAATTTCTTTTTCCTCCCACCCCCCCCCCCCGCCCCGGGGGATCAATCACTGAGTTGAATGTCATACGATGGAAAGATAGCAAAAAAGACAGAGCAATATCTCTAAGCTTTGGAACTCATTAATACTAATATGATTGTTCATATAGCTGACTATAATATAGGAGGGAAACATATTAGCGTTTGCTTAGTTTTGCAATGCGCAGTGGCCTGGCTCCGTATCCACCGATCAACAAGCAGGCAAAGTATAATGCGCCTTCGTTCAAAAAGGAATATTGCTGCAGTTTGCCCCGCCCTCTCTCGTCTGCTCAGGATGTATTTGAAAACGTCTCACCTGGTTTTGACCACTCTTATGCCGAAACAATCACGTCAACAGAAGCAGCCCTTGCACAAAACTGATTTCGACATGTTTCCAAACATGTCGTAAGTGTCCCGCAGGGCCCTCCGTTACAATCTAAATTCAACTAGGCAAGATTTTCTGATGTACAATCAAAATTAACTTAAAACAATCTAAAATTATTGGCAAAGCCAGGCGACATGGAAAATATTAATTCATTCTAAATTGCTGGTGTTTCTACTATAATTACTGAGAGAAAGTGAAATTCAATCCCTGCGATATCTTGCCCAAAAGCCCTTCTTCCTGACAGAATCATTCTCCGACAGTGATCGGGTCCACTTGGAGCCAAGTGAAAAGTGACGCCTCAAGAATGGCTTCCCCAGCGAGGTCCGTCCACTGGAGTTAGGCTCCATCTTCGGGACCTCCCCTCCCCATTCAACGTCTTTTCGCCTATCGAAAACATCACAACCACCATCAAGATAGCTATCAACCACCCGGTTCTTTGATATCCTGCAGTTTTTAGCCTTCATCTCTGATTCAGCACGAAGAATTTTCCTCGAAAACCTTGACATGTGTTTCTCCCCAACCGTACATACAGGACAAGTTGGATCATATCTATCTGCCTCTGCTGTCATAGTCTCTAAGCACTCGGCATGATATACATGACCACAGACCAGAACAGCAACAGCTGAGAGGTCGTTGCTTGCAATCAATTTCTGGTTGCTCCATGCAGATCTCTCGGACAATAGCTTTGAGCAAGCCCCGCAAGATTGTAGATCCATTGAAGGAGAATATGAGAACCTACTACTGGATCCACTTATCTTGTGACGACCCGAACCAAAGTACTCACTATCAAAGGACCACCTTTCCCTCTGAGATGAGGCCACAAGCTCAGAAAAGGTACGCATGGACCAGCCATCAGACGATCCACATTGGGATCCAGCTATATCATTGCTGCAAGTAGAGAACACAAATGATGGCCTCCCCTCAGAAATTGAGTTGTCCGGTGATTTCAATCCTAGGATCCTACTATCAGAAATCTGTCTCAACAATGGGTGTCCTGGAGATTGACGAGTCCATCTTGATGGCGTAGAATTGGGAAGATGATGATAATTATGATTAGGCAAAGGATCTGTTGTAGGTGTTGAGAAACCCGAAGGTATTGAAAATGGAAGATTTAGTACAGAAGATTCTGCGACTTCGGATGATGCCAGATTCTTTACCTAAAGATAAAATATGGAATTTCAGAGTAAGCACGGTACAATGGGAAGAGGCTCCAAAAAACCAATTATAAATGCTAAAGCTCACAGATCAAATTCAGCGGATTAAAAAGCTCACCACTGTAGAATAATTGCTAGCCATGGACAGATCTGCAATAAATACGGGAAGAAAAATGAAAAATCAATGCCTGAATTAATCAAATGACGAGAGAGGTCCCACACCAATCAAACAATTAAGTGATAAATCAATTGGTAAACCTTTTTCCTAGATGAGGAACAGTATTAGAAAAGTGAGATCAAAGCAGTATATATTTGAAATGCATTGCAAGGAGATTCCTGTGAAATAAAAATATCCTTTTAATCAACAGAAAATCCTACACATAAAGATAAAGCATGACGCAGCATCTGGAAAGCAGATTACTTGACCAAAACGATTTTAAGACTGTTAGCTGGATTGTCAAATTCTGCAGTCCCCTGTCTTCCCCTGTGACCATACATCCATGGGAGAGAGTCCTAACCTAAGGGGCCTGATGATGACCTAGACACTCTTAGACTAACTTTCCTGCCCCCTGATCATTCAAAGGGCGAAAAAGAAAAAGCATGTCCAAAGGCTATAGTAATAAGTATAATGCTAAGGTCGAGTACAATAGGAACAGCCCCACAGTAGGCCTCAGCCAGAAGGGCTAAAACAAAAATACCCATACAATATAGACTGCCTCAGATGAAAAAAGGAAACCTTGAGCAAGTGAACCAAGAGGCATTAAGACTGATAATCCAGATCTAAAGTCTACTTTTCAACATATAGGACTCTTATTAAACATTATAGTTGTAAATGTAACTCCAGAAATGAGACAAGACAAATGATGAGGCTTTAATCTTCAAATGAACCAACAAAAAAATATAGGTATTTTGAAGCCAACTGATAATTGTGAAAATAACTTGTCCAGATCTAGAGTCTACTTTTCAATATATAGGGCTCTTATAAAACATCATGGTTGTAAATGTGTCTCCAGAAATGAGATGACACAAATGATGAGCCATACATCTTCCAATAAACCGACAAGGAAATGTGGGTTAGATACTCCACAGTTGAGGGGGAAAAAGTAGAAGCTGCTTCCTAACAGGAATACATGGAATTTATACCGGCTCGAAAGATAATAAAGCTATATGATATTCAGTTTTTAGATCCCATCACTATACTACAATCTAATGTTAACAACTGAGACAGCCTTTAGTGTCATGGAAGCTTGCTCCACTTGAGAAGTCCACAGAAAGGAGACACCATCCAATTATTGAGTTTTCTGTATAATGAAGTCATCAAAAACAAGGGGCACCTATATGTGTGCATCGTACAATGGGCTTATGCAAGTAAAAAGAAAAGATAACACAAACATTTACCTGAAGATGGGGTCATTGGGTTAGCAGCCAACGTCTCATGGATTGGAGACTTCTGAGAAATAGGAGTAACAGAATTCTCCACCGTGCTGCCCCCGTCAGATAAATTGCCTCTTTCAGAACTTAATGACCCTTTTAATTCCATGCTAATGTTTCTGCTGACTCCACCAGATGAGTGGTACAAATGATTTTGAGTTTCACCAGCAACACGTCCCCGTCTATCCCATCGAAAACTCCATGATGGTGAATAAACGTCATTCCTGTGCAAACTTTCAACCCTGGTTCTGTTTGGAAGAGTATGATCCTTTGCAGCTACGCAACAAGCTGATCCCATGATAAAAGCTGGCATGACAAAATTCAACATAAGTCACTTGCGGACAGGAATAAAAACTAGTTCAGCACTCAATGGAGAAATATAGGTAAATATATACCAGATTGTTTACCCAAAAAAATCTGAAAGCCACCTCAATTTTCCACCACCAAATTGCAGAACTATTTCCCCCTGAGAATAAAATAGAGATGGTCAATTTGATATTTTATATTTCATGATAACATGTGTCAAACATTAACACTACCTGAAGACCGAAGTTTACCTACAGAAGCTACTAACAACCTGAAGTAAAATGCAAAGCACACAAGGCCTATATCACAATACAAGGAACAACTCTGATTTGCACCGAATCTCCATTGACAATTAAAGTCTTCACTCTCCATTATTTTGAATCAACTTTTATTCAGTTCGTTCGGGACTAGTTTGACAGATAAATTTCAATATAGCAGGACAGGTGGAGTATTTATGAGCAAACATATCATTCGTTCAGTGAATGCGTCACTTGGGATACGGAATTTCCAAGCAAGCAAACTCACAACTATATGCAAGGAGCATTTAGACATATGCACTCCACGACAAATAAAAATACATGCCCAAGACTATGTTCTCCATGAAAATTCATACAATTCCTCGGGAGAATGACAGACTCCGTTATTTGTTATCTAAGTGTCCTCTGCTCATGTTAAACTTTCTCACACCTCATACCGTAGACAGCAACATCTAAGTTTAGCTGTTATGTCTAGTAACAAGGAAATCATGCAGAATTCAAAACCAAGGGGGGCTTGGACATAGCTTTAAGTCTTTAACTAGAGGGAGCGTCCAAGAGAAACAAGTACAACCATGAACAGAATGTGAAGGTGAATGAAAACGCAAGACCAGAAATATGGAACAACCATTCTGGCATCACTCCTTAATATTAGATCGGCCATGACCAGGAATTGTGTCCCCTGGGTATCATGTATAGAGCGTGTCACAAACAAGAACTTAGCGCCCGCCCAACCCGACTAAAACGCACGAGATATAAAAAAGAGGAGAGAAAATAGAAAGGTACAACAGAGTAAGGCAGAATAATGACGGCCATTAAACATGCTCCCCTGCAAGTAGCAAAAATACCAACCACCAATGATGAAAAAACGAACGGGCCAAAAAAGGGGGGGGTAGAGTGTAAAAGAGAAATCAGCATCAACAGCCAGCACTCGAGCCACCAAAGGAAAATAAATACGGAAACACATTTATTGAGAGCAGAAAACGTCTAAACTCTAGAGCCAATACTCCAAGGATAAAGAGAACCCAACGAAAGCATGCCAGTTATATGCCATGACCTAAATCCCAAGTCTGCGTAACAGAAACAGCGAAAATCGACTCTCAATTCCACCAGGAGACAATACCTGAAGGCCTAGGGTTTCAAAAAAATTCCAGCGCCCAGTTCTCGGCAAGGAAGGAAATCACAAAAGCACTAGAAATAGATCGAAAATGCTTGATAAACGGAAAGGCAGGGCCAATCTTACATCATGAGATTTCAAAGCAATACGTTGAGGAAGAAAAGGCGGCGAAGTCGTCGATTTGAGGTTCGTCTTCTCAGTGGTCATGCGCAGCGCCAAGGAACAAGCAGGCGCAGAAAGGGGCGGCGGCTATATAACGAGGAGTCTGTTTAAAGGTCGCTGAAGCAGAAATCGTTAGCGTTATGACTCCGTCAAGAGAAGTTCATGTGTAAGAAGAGTCCATGGAGATGGTGTAGCCCTTTTGACGTCCTCCTCTGCTTCTCTCGGCTTGTCTGCCTCCTCTTTTTCTTCCGGGTGTTGTTTTCCAGCCTTCCTCGTCTCTTTTTCTTTTTCCTTATGAGATTTTATTTGTTTATCGACAAAAAGCGAAATAGTAATATCGCAAGTCGATAAAGCACAGGGAAGTGAGGAACAGAAGGGGCGGCCGAGAAAAAGAAATGGCTCCTATATTTTCCGCCACGTAGAGTCGCATGATTAGCTCATAGCTTATCTCCCTTGCCAGCGCCCATCATCACTCTTCAGCCTCGCTTATTTCTATCGCCTATCCAACAATAAGTTGCTATAACATGAAACATCAATCATAGGTTTTTTTGTTTTTTGAGGTTAAAACAGTCATAGTATTTCTTTCAGGAAAACCTACCTCGGAATCCCAAGAAGTGAATCTCGATCAACGTGTAGTAGTGTCGATTGAAAGAAAAATATAATAATTACCTCGCCTTTTAAATTTCATTCCTCACGATTCAACTAATATTTCTGATTCTAATTATAAGAGTTAGTTGAATAATTTAAAAAGATTAAAAAAAAGTTAAATTAATTATTTATAATAAATAGGTATTGTCTTTCCTAAAATATCCTTCCTAAACAATTGTATTGGTTAGAACTATCATTGTTAGAAGGACTCTTTAAAAAAATTACATAAATATGATAAACAAAATGGATTGGGATCTTATATTTAAGATCAAAATAAAAATTGAATAAGATCTTATATTAAAGACCGGAGATAGTATTATTTAAATTTCAATATTTCAAGTTGATTAGTAAACTATGCATCAATACTTCAAAGTAGGGAGAGAAAGTTAGACTTTCTAAACATTATATAAAACATGTCGTACTAATTCCGTTAAAGGTTAAATTTCTTTAGAAGTTAAGCCTCACACTTTACTTAAAAACAATTTTTCGAACAAAAACAGGATAAGTTATATTTTCCTAATATTTTCTGTATTTCAAATAACAAAATAATATTTAAAAAATAATTGTAACCTTTAAAAAATCAATAAAAAAATTTGTATATTTTTTTGGCAAAAAAACTTATGTATTAACCTTCAAAAAATTAACTTTTCAATGAGTTGAATCAAGCAATGCCCCATCAGCCTCTTGACTTCTTATTTCTCCTTCTAGACTAGAGGAGTTACGCTGGAGCTTGATGCTCCCGAACTGGGCCGGCCCATTTTACCTGACTCTAATGGAGCTGCCGGGCCCGATGTTTTGTCTGTTTTGGACAGTTGGAGCTTTTTCTTGTTTTGCATAAGAAATTCAGATCCAAAGAAGACTTCCGAAAATTGAAATATTACTCAGCAAATAATGCATTAATTATTGATAGATAAAACTTGAATTTTTTCCGCTATTCTAAAATGCTTTTTTTTCCGCTCGTTATGTTTATTCCTAGATTACCTTTTTTTTTTTTTTAGGCCAACCTTTATTTCTAGATTTCTTTTCGTGATGCTTGCGCGTTTTCTAGAGGGAATGTTGAGCCGGTGTCAATAATGCGTGTGAATAATTGAAAAATTGACGATCACGTTTTGCAGGTTGTTCCAATGATTGTCGCGTTAATTAAGGAGAAAAGTCCAAATCATAATTTCATAATACTACCTCGGTCCTTAATATAAGACCCAGTTTGATTTTTATTTTGATCCTAAATATAAGATCACAAATTCACAATCCATTTTGTCTCTCATATTTATGTATTTTTTTTCAAGGTAGTCCTTCTAATAAGGACAATTCTAGCCAATACACTTGATTAGCAAGGATATTTTAGAAAAGACAACACCTATCTATTACAAATAACTAACTTAACTTATTTTCTTAATCTCCTCAAATTAGTCAACTAGCTCTTATAATTAGGACGGAAGGTAGTACTACCTTCTATCCTTAATATAAAAGCAAGATAACTAATTTGAATATATTAAAAAAATTGTTAAGTTAGTTATTTATAACAAATATGTATCGACTTCCTTAAATTACTCTAATTCAACCATGTATATTAGAATTACATTACATTTGGGTGAAAATACCTTACAATAAACAAGAATATTTTTGAAAATATATTATAAACTTCAAAAGTAAAGTGGATTAAGATTTTATATTTATAATATTTAATTAACAGTTGTATTTGATTGATTTCATTCGAAGGTCCATCACTGTTATTAGTTGACCCTTTGGTTTTGTTATTTTCCCATTCCTCAGGCTGCGTGCTTCCTTGAATAATCAGTGTAAAAAAAACCGGACCGGACCGGCCGGTTCAACTGGTAAACCGGTGAACCGGTCAGTGGTCCGGTCCGGTTCATAAGCTAAACCGGGACCGGTTCAAACCGGATTGAACCAGTCAAACCGGTGTGAACCGGTGAAAACCGGTATGAACCGGTTTAAATAAATATATTGATATTTATCCTATTTTTTCTCATTTAACTCCTAATATCTCAATTATTATAGATTTAAATGAATTTTGATGATGAGTTTGGCATCAATAACTATTAATTTTAGTTATTGAAAAAATTATAAAGATCAAAATTCTCAATATTGTTGTACTTTATTATTATTACAATCAAATTCTTATTGTATTTCTTTATATTTTGTTATTAGTAATTATTATTATTGTTATATTTTGTCATTTTTAATTAAATTAAATTATTTTAATATGACCGGTTTGATCCCGAGTTGACCCCAATCTGACCCATTAACCCTTGAACCACTACCTCAATCGGTTTAGTGTCCGGTCCGGTTTTTTGTTCCTTGTGAATAATTGTTCAAGACGACTAGTGAAGAGCCAGAGGTTTAATGTAGATCAACTTTCTAATACAATTCACATTACAAACTAAATCTTAGATTTAGAACTATAGGCAATTTCATTTATTCTTTACATCATATATAGAGAAATTTCAATTAATTTCCCGCACCTTGTGCACGAGTCACCGATTCATAAGCCTAAATTATATACAAACAACTTGCTTTTGTTCAGCTTTAACGTACAAAGTTCTGAAATGTCTATGTGTGTGTGTGTAGGCTAGAAAATTTCAAGTTAACACAAAACATACATTTAACCTGAAAGTCATACTATTTTACAACGAACAGTAAATGTTGAAAATATGATCACTTTTGATGTCGTGTAATCTTTTTTCTGCTTGACAAATTGATGTATCAGTACATTTAGATGGTTTTTTTTTTTAATGTCTAGTCTTATACTTTTAGCGTGAATATTGAGCTAGAGGTGTGCTAATTAATTGGGAGTGCTTGTGTCTAAGAGTTAACTGTGAGGATTTAAAGATTTAATTGATAAAATTAATCGCAAATTTAATTTATTCCCCTAAAAGTGAGGTTAAAGTGTGTTCCATGTTTGTGGTCATGTGATATTATGGATGAAAGTTTATTCTTCTCACAGATGAAGAAAGCCTCAGAAAAGAATCGTCACTGTCTCCCTTCTACATGCCACTAATTCATGCATTCTTTTCTCAATCTGATCTCTCTCTCTCTCTCTCTCTACACGTGTGTCTGTGTGTATAACATTGAAGTTTCGAATAAATTTTTTTTTTTAAAAGCATTATGTTTTTAAAGGGAGGCGTGTGTATGTCTTGTGGGGAGGGAGCATGGGGGCCGTTGAGACTATTCTGTTTGAGTAATCTAGAAGTGTGTTTTCAAATGCGTATACCACGTTTTCATATTCATATACATTGATTACATTCATTGCTTGCTTAAGCATTATATCAAAATAAATATATATAAATATATACTTTTTACATTTGATTCTTTTGTGTATCAGTTATATACGCACACATTTAAAGGTCAAAAGTCAAAACTCAATCTAATAATATGCAGTGTAATATTCTTTTCGTGATGAGGCACGAAGAATTACGCTAAAAAGATACGGTAATGAAGACAAGCTTACACAGAAAAGCCACATGATCACAATATATATACAAATACAAACACACTAGTTAGATCAGCAACGTTCATCTCTCACCTTAAGCTAATAAACAACGAAGGACCTGAAAAGAAGATATTACAAATGAGAGCCCCGGTCCTCCCCATAACAAAACACCCCCACCCCCACCAACACTCTAATCAACCCACATATTTCTCAACATGGAAACATGTCTGCTGCACAAGCCATTATGGGTTGACTGTGACTCGAAAACATATTCATGGGATTCACGAAGTTCAACGATGCCTCGCTGGTGCTTCTTGTTCTTGTGCTGACGAGGTCGATGATATGATTCAGAGATCGAAGGGTTTGGGTGAGTTCAGCTATCTGGGCTCTCAGAACGCTATTCTCAGCCTCCACATTCTGATACATCTGCATCGCCATGTTTATGCTGGCGACGAGCTCGCTGTTTTCCTTTCGCAGCTCAACCAGTTGCGCCGCCATATCGTCCATGTGCTTCTGCTTTCGCACCCGAGATCGCCTTGCCGATTCACGATTCGCTTCCATCCTCTTCCTCTTCCTCTCCAACATCTCAAGCTGCAACAACTCCTCTTCATATCCTAAACTCTGATGGAATCTGGTGTTGGACAAGCACGAATTCCCACTTGGCGAGCCCATCATCATGATTTTGCTTTATATGTTTCTTCCTAAATTCTGAGAGACAATATTTAACTTGCAAAACAAAGATATGCACAAAGACAACTCCAAAAGCTTAAAATATGGTTATGTATACTTCAGTGCAGTAATATTATGGCAAGGGCGGCAAGCGATTCATGAAAAGACATAGAACCAATGGAGGAAGACGACAGAGAAAGACTGAGCCAAGGGGCTCATGCGCCTAAGGGCGGAGTTTACGATAATCCCCGAGCGGAGGATTTCACTAATGACTGGAGACATGAATGTGATCAAACATTACAGAACCAGATTGTGTAGGATCAGCGATATTCAATGGATTGATGGAAGATACTTTCTTTGGATCAGAGAAGATTTGCAGGGGAAGACGATGAGATTCCTGGGAATTAAAACAAACGGCGGAAGGCCAACTTCTAGAGGGACATGGAAGGGAAAGAACAGGAAAAAACTTGGAACTACGAAGGAGGCGAGGGATTAGAGGAGAAGAGCAAGTGACGGAAGA